AAATTAATTGATAAACAATTTATAAATCTCTATTTCATTTAAATATGTAATTTTATTTAAAACTATTTTTAATGTAACAAAATTTGTTTAGAAAATCGTATCGATCCTACCAGTCCAACAGACTGGTGTTGAAAGATTCGATAGCAAATATTTTATTCAAGCGCACTAGACTGGTTATAAACCGGTTCTCGGTCCATCCGGTCAGACTGTGTCCAACCCGGTTTAATTTAAAAATAATGGATAAATCATGATTAATGTTATTTATTTATTCAATTTATAATAAAATTAAAATATTGTTTTGTCGTGCATCGCATGGGCCACGCACTAGTAATACGTTAAAAGGACAAAAAAACGTGTACCTCTAATTAATTGTGGAGGAAATGGATGCAACCATTACATCATAAAGCACTTGAATGTAATTCATCATCTGTTGACTCAAAAGTCAAAAACAAAAATAAAGCAATTACATAAATAAATATAAGAAGTTAAGAAAATTAACCTAACCCCGTTTATTATTATTTTCTTTTCTAATTTATGTTTGATTTAAGACTTGATAAAGTTAGTTTATTGATTATATTTAACTTTAATTAAGAAAAAATGGGTAGGCACCCATGAAATATGTCTAACTAGAGTTGTTAACTAAATGAGCACGAGCTTGATTGGTTAAGACTAGTTAGACTTGAAATAAGAGTTTATATGTAATTTTTTAAATTTTTAACATAATTCGACTCGTTAAAGTTACGATTTGTTTATCTCCAAAGCTTGAGTATCCATAGCTCAAGTTCGACTTGGCTCTTTTTACCGCCCTATGTCTTAGGCTATTCTTCATGGGAGGTTGTATACACACATTTTGCTGTTATTTGAGGACATTTAATTTAGTGTTTTTTTTTTTATTTACTATATTTTATAGAAGAAGTAAGTTATACATCAATATTCAATTTATTGGCTTTTTTCATCTTTGATTTCACTAGCTCATTCCCAGCTGTAAATGTCAATTCCCATTTCTTTTAATATAGAAAACTACATTGCTAAATAATTGAATTGGACAATTAACCAATTCCACACCATTTAGGAATAAATTGCCCTATGCAAAGGAATTCCTTTACAAATTGGTCTTTCAACATAATTTACTAAAACTTCCTCTTATGTGAAGAAAAAATAAACCACCTTCAAAAACCATATGCTGAGTAGCTGAAATAAATCAAAGTTGCAAAACCAAAGCACCTAAAACATGCACAATACATCCCCCAATAGCACCTCTCATTTATGCTTTTGCAAAAAAGTTGTAGCCTTTATTTCATAAAGTGACATTAATTGATAAAGCATGTGCACATATTACAATCCCANCAAAAAAAAAAAAAGAAAAAGAAAAAAAGAAAAATCTCTACTCAAGCTATGCATATATAAACACCCCTTTTCTTCTCATTTTCATTGAATGCATGGGAATATCCTAGATAAAGCTCAATAATGAGCTACATAAATTCCCAATAAAATTAAATTCATTTAACCCTTCACCACACTCATTGGTGATCATCCAAGCCATGAAAAACCACAATAAGTCTCACATTCTCTCAAATCTTGTTCTATACTCACTCACATCTTTAGTCACTTGCTTCTTCTTTTCCTATCAATTCTTGTTCCTCTCCATAAAAAGCCTTTGGTTCTCTCTACCGAACATTAGCGTTTGCAATAACTTCTTTCCTCTCGACGCAAAATTCTTATTTATTGTTGCAAACATTATAATTATTTTTCTCCTCGTGAAAGAATCGAAGGTCACACGATCGTCAATTTCGTATTCATCATCCTTGGATATATATGACGAGTACATCGAAAGAAGCCGAATAAGTAGCTTCCGTGGTCCTAAGGTAATTACGAGTACGAATTTTGATGCAGAGAAGAAAGTGGAGAAGAAGATCGAAGAAAAAAAGCATGGAAGTGTTAAGGAAATGAGAGTGTGCAATAGTTTGAATCACATGACTAAGCAAAGGAAAAAGGAAATATTGAGAGCAAGCAAAAGTGAAGTTTGGAGCCAAAATAGTAGTGAGATTGTTCAAAGAGAACAAATTATTACTAAGGAGAAAAAAGTGGGAGATGTTGAGGACTTGAATAAAAGGGTTGAAGCTTTTATTGAAAGGATTAACAATCAAAGGTTGCTCGAAGCAAAACTCGTTGATCGTGGTAGAGGTTGAATATGTAAAATAAAAGCATCTGAAATTTATTTAGATCTCATAAATAAAAGTATTAATATATAATATTATATATTCTTTATTATGTTATGATGTACTTTGGATGCATGAATTCGAATGAATTTTATGAGTATAATATTATTATATAGACTAAGTGTGTTCTAAACCTCGTAGAAATTATTTATGAGGATTGGTTTATAGATAAATTATTTTGTGGCTGAATGTTTTTGTTCAGTATTCTTTTTAAGTTTTCACAAATAACTGTGTAGTAGTTTTTAGTATGTAATCTGATATTATTATTATTATTATTATTATTAGAGTTGGAAAATTTAGATTAGTGTGTGAAGTGCAGGATGTGATTAGAAATAATTTGAGATGAGATGAAAAATGTCACATTCGAGCAACAAAGTACATTACATGTTACAAATGAACGAATAAGGATTTTTTTAATATTTTATTTGGTATAACTTGGGTAATTAAATGATAGAAGTTTGAGTATCTAAGTATAAATGCCGATTGAGACATTTTGATATGAAAAGAATTAAGAATTGGATTATCCTCAAGAATTCTCGTTCGCTCATATAACGAATTTGAAGTTTGTATTTATTCGATCAATACTCTATATATCCAATACGAGTCATTTTGTTTGTAGCACAAAATCACAAAAAATGAAAACTTCCATGTAATTTTTCTATCCCACAATCATACATCCGCTTTTGTAAGGAAACAATTTAATTAAAATTCTCTTTCATTATTTTATTTTAGAAGAAAAAAGTGCAGTTATGCTCAAGCTATATACCTTCAATTTTCAAGATAAATTGATATGCTAAGCTTGAACCACCAGCTTTAACACCAATTTTGGTTCCAGCTTTTCGTGAAAATGAAGATTCATTAATTTTTGGCTGAAATTTGGTTCGTATTTAATGTACTTGTCTATTTCCATAAAGTATAGTCAGTGTTAACCATTAAAACTATAGATCAAGATACTTGTGGACCTTGTTCCACCACGCCAAATATATATTGGAGTTTTTCCTTGTATTTAATAATTTGTAGTTAAATTTGATAAGAATGATAAGTAAATCTGTATTATGGCCGGATGCTTCAAATGAAACTCGGTGGATCTATATGAATAATGTATATAGAGAAATCCTCTCAAGGTATGTTATCATCTTAGATCTAACCAATTTGATATATTGCTCTTAAAGGTTTCTATCAAATTAGTGATAGGTCTCAACTCAATACACATTCTCGATCGACCGATGCCCTAAATCTAGCTATAGGTCAAATCCTATTAAATTCAAAGGTCTGTTGGTTAACTACAATCTTCCACATATAATAATACTAAAGAGCCAACAGCCAATGGGACAGCTCCATGTGGGTTGTCTCACATTGGAGCAATGTGGGACAGCCCACATGGAGCTGTCTCATTGGCTGTTGGCTCCACAACAGAGTCAACAGTTGGTTCCTTAGCATTATTACTTCCTCATATCCCTCGACTTAATTAACTAATCTTTGCTCAAACTCTAAATTTCACTCAAAAAATTCTTCAACATATCCCTCGACTTAACGAACTAATATTTGCTCAAACTCCAAATTTTACCCGAAAGAATTTAACATGCTGCTTCGCCACATAAATAAGAGAATGATGCTATTTTGATATATATTTTTTACATATTGGATTATCTATTTTCATTTCTTAATTTTAGTAATTATCTATTTTCATTTCTTAATTTTAGTAAGTCTCTTGTGGGTCCCACATCATACTTTCTCATTTTGGAAAGTCATTACACGTAGGATTGTCTTTTTTCTAAAAAATATTTTTGAGCACGCGTGTTGCTTAAATGCTGTTATTTTTATTTTAAGCGTAAAATATTAAATCTATCAATCTCCGTATATATATGTTGTTAAGATAAAAGCATCTTAATATAAATAAAAAATAAAGAATGATGAAATAAGACCAGTAAATTTTTGTATGCCAAAATTATTAAAATGTAAAAGTTTGAAAATAATAAACACTAATATACATAAATAAATAATAAGATGAAGAAAACAAGGTAAATTTATTTTCCAGTCACATTAGGAAACAAAATGAGATTGGAGCAAAAATTTATTGATGTTTTTCAATATATTTTTTAGATTTTTATTTAGATTGAGGTATTTTTATTAACGTGCATTTGCATTAATTCTTATCACATGTGTATTATGCCAAGCTTTATATCCCCTGTCACGATCCTAATTAAAAGGGAAAGGAAATTATAACCAAACCATTTTAAATTTTTATTTACATATGGTAATTTACTATTTGCTCCATTTTTACGTTTTTAACCACTTATTCTTGTACGAAGAAAGGAATACTCTTAGGCTTGTAAATGAGTCGAGTTGAGCTCGGCTCATCAAATAAACGAGCCTGAAATCTAGCTCGAGCTCGACTCATTTATCACTAATAACGAATCGAATAATTAAAAAATTATATATATATATATATATATATATATTTAGCTGAACAGAGCTCGACTCGTTAATCAAACAAGCTTTAAATGACCTCGACTTTGACTCATTTATCAAACGAGCTGAGCTAGACTCGAGCCGAGCCGAGCCGAGCCGAGCGAACTACAGTATCGATCAAATAAAGAAAGGAACCCTCATAGTTCTTACCCATCCAAAAAAAGAGAAAAAAGAAAAGAAAGAAAGAAAAGGAACGCTCATATTTTCCCGTTTTTAATTGTCTCCTCATTAAATAAAAATAATAATAAAAAAAAAGCATAAAAACTATAAATAAATAAAAGGTGCACATTAGCCAGTCAACAGGGAGCTCAAGATTTTCAAGAAATGGGGGTTTAAGAAATGAAACTGAGAGAGACCACCGAAAACTGGCACCACCAAACCAAACTCCGACCTACAACTTTTATGACAACCATTAATTACTTCTGTACTCAAACAACTCCTTAAAGCTGCTTCTCATTTTCTTCTAACTATTGCAAGTTCTTATTCTCTTTGCCATTGCTCGAAAGAAGAAGAAGAAGAAGAAAAGGGGAAATGACTTCATATCTGCGCAAGAAATTCCAGAATTTGACGACGACTTCACAGTCCTCCGAGTCCGAGGATGTTGTAAGAGAAACTGAAGTCAACCCAGGTAACAATATGGAAGAGATCGAACGCAGTAAAATCGGAATTGTGAGAGCCCTTGTCCAGAATCAGAACCCCTCTGCTAAGGTCTAACAAACATCAAAGACTAATTTTTTTTTTTTGTGTGTGTGTGTGTGTTTTTTCTCTTTCTGGTATTGATTGATCAAGTTCTTGAGCTTTATTATTTATGTATGTGTTCTGTGTGCAGCTGTTTCTGCAGTTAATCTGACAGCAAATTATTTGCCAGTTAGCTAAATCAGTGTTTTGTGCTTGATTTGACTGACTTATCATATTATGGTTTGTTGTTTGTGCTTTAGTTGGTGTGACTTTGAAAATGGCTGACCTTATAACCATAATGTAATCGATCTGTTAGAAAATTTGAATAGACGACGCAAATTGATCCAAGGGTGGAAAATGCTGTTTGTTTTCTAGGGGTTTTAGTAAAGATTGGATTTTTACTGATGATTTTGTGTTTTGATATTCAACTTGCTTCATTGAACTTACTGGCTAAAGAAGATCGATGTAAATTTCGGCTGTTTAGGAAGGAAAATGAAAAGGGCAAAAGAAAATGTCTGAGTTATTGGTGAAGTTTCTTTGGTAAATAACAGATTATATTCAATGTAGAAGCCTATCAACAATGAAGTTTCTTTGGTATTGTTTGTACTTATTAGTTTTTTAAGAGGAGAAAGAACAAGATTGTGCATTTGTAATTTGAATGGTGCCTCAACGTGAAAAAAAGCTCAAGAGGGGCAAAAAAGGTCGAAAGTGCACAAATTGAGTTGTCAAATTCAGAAATAATAAGGGAAATCTAATTGAGATTACATATTTTGGTATTTCTAGGATCTTGATGATATAATGATCCGTAGATTTTTGCGAGCTCGCGATCACGATGTTGAGAAGGCATCAGCCATGTTACTAAAGTATCTGAAATGGAGAACAGAATTTGTTACAACTGGTTTTATATCTCCATCTGAAATCACCACTGATATTGCACACGGTAAGTTGTTTATGCAAGGATTTGACAAGACTGGACGTCCGATTGTAGTTGTTTTTGCTGCTCGGCATAAGGCGACTAATGTGGAAGACTTTAAGCGTAAGTCTTTTTCACACACTAATTTTTCTAACTCATTCTGTTCCTTCCTAATGTTTCTTCATAAATAAATTGAGTCTTCGCATTATTGATTCGTTCAAATGTTAATGAATTTTACATTGAGAAGTCGTTTTTCCAACATCGCCCTCGTTGATCTTTGCAAATATTTTTCATTTTAACAATATTTGTGATTACAAGAATGAGAACATTATTTTTGCATGGAGGTAGTTTATATTTTGGTTTATATTCGACTCTTGGTTTTTATCAAAGGAGAAAGAAAAACAGAGAGAATGAGGACTGAGAAGTAGCTGAAAAAACAAGTTTCCCACTACTTTTGAATTAGGTATATTTTGTATTTTGTTTACTCTACCTACTAAATATCCAAATTTTGATTTTTTATACCTGGGTAGGAATTGCCACAACTGATCATCAGCATTTTAGGTTTGGTGCAATATGTTTGTATGCATGTTGTTCCTTCTTTTGATACCCGATTTCTCTTTCCCGACAGGTTATGTTACTTACTCACTTGACAAAATTTGCGCAAGGTACACGAATTAGTTTTCCTGCATAGATATATCTGATGAAAAACCTGAATTTGATGTTCCATAAGGAAATATTCTGACGATTCATCTTGCATTAACTTCGAAAATTTCCTAACATTTTATTTCATTTACCTTCTTTATCGCAACTAAAAATACTTGAAACTATTTTGCATACTTAGTTACCGCTTCTTNCAGACATAAATGGGTGGGGTTATGCCCACAGCGACATTCGTGGATACATTGCAGCTCTATCTATATTGCAAGTACGATTTTTTTTTTTGGTCATATTATCAGCAAACTTATAATATAGACGCGCACATCAAGGGTGTGAGTTATCGTGTGCCTTTGCCCTTTGTTTGATTTGTTTGACAGGATTACTATCCGGAGAGACTGGGCAAGTTTTTCATAATCAATGTGCCGTACATATTCATGACTGCATGGAAGATGGTTTACCCGTTTATCGACAAAAATACGAGGAAAAAGGTTTCTCATACACACACATTGCACACACTCAACTAACACCAATTTATTTGTCAACGTGTAAAATGCAAGAATAACTCTTTCTGAAACTAAGTTATGTGATTTAACAAAATGCAGATTTTGTTTGTGGAGAGCAGCAAAACATGGTCAACCCTGCTACAAGATATCGACGAGAGTCAACTCCCCGATTCATTTGGAGGGAAACTTGAACTAGTTCCCATTCAAGATTGTTGATAGGTTCTCTATATATTCAATTTCATTTCACTCCTATATATTATTGTATGAAGATACAATCAGCAGACATTACTCAACACACTGTACTTTGGGGAATCTGTTTCTTTTTCTATGCGACTTGTACGTATACGGAACAATGATATTTAATGTTAACAATCATTAAAAAGAATGTGTCCGAACACAAATCGTTGGAAAAAAAATTCATCTAGAAACGAAAATTTCAAGCATTCAGCACACTATGATTAGTAAGTACAACAAACTAAGTGAATTAGATTCCTCTTTTGTTTCCCTTCCCTCCCAAGATTGGGCAAAATCAAGAGCAATTGCAGGAGAATTGGCTAAAGTGAAAACATATCAAGAAAATGCTCCAACAAACCTAACAATAAAAATCATTTATATAAATGTTACAAAACAAGGCAAAAGTTCAGCCAGAATTATTCAAATAGCTAGGCCCCCCCACCAGAATCCTGAGCCCCAGCAAACGACCAGACCACAACAGAACATAACAAATGAAGCCACCCAAAAAAATAAAATTATTACAAATTACAAAATGACCACATAAAAGTTGCTAAAAAGCCCCCAACAACACAGTTTCTGGCTTTTTTTTCTGCAAGTCCCTTCAAAATATTAAATTAAAAAAGTCCCTAACAAAAACACCCTCACCTTACTCCCCCTCACCCAACCAACAGCTTATTCTCATCCAAGAAACTGTAGGTCGGCACCTCCAGATTATAAGGCGCCGGCCCTTTCCGGATCCTTCCAGAGACATCATAGTGAGAGCCGTGACACGGGCAGAACCATCCACCGAAATCCCCAGCATTCGGCAAAGGAATACATCCCAAGTGAGTGCACACACCAACCACAACAAGCCACTCGGGATTCTTGACCCTAACCGAATCCTCCTGTGGGTCCCGCAAGGAGGCCAAGTCAACGCTGTTCGCCAGCTTGATATCTTCTTCCGTTCGGCGGCGGATGAAAACGGGCTTCCCGCGCCACTTGACCGTGACGGTGGACCCGGGCTCGATGCTCGACAGGTCAACCTCGAGGGAGGCGAGGGCAAGAACGTCCTTGCTGGCGGACATGCTGAGGACGAACTTGAGGACGAGGAGACGAGCAAGAGAGGCGTACACGAAACGGCCGCCGGTGAGGATGAAGTAGGCAAACGCGCGCTTGCTCGGGTCGCCGGGAGGATAACGTTCGTGGTTGCTCTCGTCGTAGGAGATTTTCGAGCTCGGGTTCTTGATTGCGGCTATTGTCGGGGGGACATTTGGGATTAAGGAGAGGTTATCCTGCGTGGGGGCGTGGGTAGAATAGCCTACGAATGTTCATCGGAAGATACAAGTCAACTAGTGTCAATCACCTTAACTAAAGCCCTCCAGAAGAACTATTCCACCCAATCCAAGAACTGATATTGATTAATACGCGCGCGTGTGTGTGTCTGTATGTGTATTCACACATTTTGAAACTACAAATTCAGCAAATTACTCATTGAATAATATTCAAGAGGGAACAAACCATTTGTTTACCCTTCTCGATAGGATTAAATGTGCAAGGCCTATGATTTATGAATCAACCCCTATCCTCTGCACCAGTTGTCCATGATATGGATATGATAGATAAGCCAAGAACAATATCAATAAAACTAAACAAAAAAAAAAAATGTAAGCTTATATTGGTCCCCGCATAAATTCTAATCAAGAAGGTTAGACTGATATATTATGCCTGAGTTGGTAAGAGAAATCACTGTTCCACTGATTAGCAAAACAAATCTTCTGAGATAGATTAAAGGAAAAATAAAAAGAATGGCCCAAATAAGCAACTTCGTAACAAATTCAGAAGCCACAAACTGATTTTTTAAGTACAAATAAGTTGTATTTCACAAGAAATGATTAAAAACGATAAAACTTATAAATGTTATTGGATAGATGAATGTGCTAAAATATGCAAGAAAAGGTCTACTAATGATGGAACTATACTTGTACCAAACAAGTGTTATCCTTCAATTCTCAATTAACGGCAACATATATGATAATGTAAGCTACTCGTGCTTATCATCTAAACTACTGATTCTGCCACCAGCGATACCTATACTCAACATTCACCATACTGGCCGAGGAACATTTATTTCCACACTAACGAAAACAGAATATCAGTAGCAACTAATATAAGCATTTAACCACCGAAAAAATGGGGAAAAAAGAACTCATTCAATGACTCCACGAAAACCAAACAGAAAATAAGAAATTTGACAATTCAAACCAAAAATAAATGGACAAGCTCTCATGAAAACCATACATGAAACAAGAAATTTGACAATCCATCCTCACAAAACGGTCAATGTTCCAGAACACAGTACACATCATTTCATTACGAAAACTAAAACAACATGAATGCCCCAGATTTAATAATCAATTGTCACAGAGTGAATCGATTGTCATGAAATATCAAATCTATTAATGGAAATTCAATCAAAAGAACAGCTAAAACGGAAATTTAATAAACTAAATGGAAGAGCCAGCTCATGTTAGGGGAAAAAAAAATAAAACTTTACTCTCCCTGGGCCTGTTTGAGACCTTTAGATTTCATCCAATCTTATATTTTCAATGCTACGCGGCATACAGCTCTCGATCTAATCGGAATAGGAAAAAGTGAACGAACCTCGGATTTCATCCAGAAAAGGGTTGGTGCCAGAGCAAGAGATGTCTGGCGAATCAACAGCGGAGAACGGATTCTTGGAAACGAAAGCGAGCGGCGGAGCCTGACCGGACCGCCATGACAGAGACGACAACCTCCTCCCAGCGAATCTCAGCATCTTCGACCAATAGATATTATTAATGCACTTGATCTCGATGTGAAATGATCGATCGGCGAACCTTAATCTAGGGTTCCTCTCTCGCGGAGCAGTGGGGAATTTGTAAGGTGAAGATGAAAGAGGAAATGAATATAAGAAAAATCTGGAAAATGTTGGTTGACATTTTCAGATAAACCGTAAAATAATAAAAGAACATTTTAATGTTCTGATTCATCAATTGCCGTCTTAGCTCAGTCGGTAGAGCGCATGGCTTTTAACCATGTGGTCGTGGGTTCGAGTCCCACAGACGGCGTTTATCTTTTTTCGTTTAGGTCAATTGAGATCTGTTTTTTTACTTTGACCCAATTTTTCCTGAAATTTTGCATTAATTAAGTGTAATAATACTTTTAAACTTATTTATTATATATTATTATTAATTAAAATTTCACATTAAAAAAATTATGGGAGATACACTTATAAAAGATTTTATAGCAAAATTTTAATTCCAGTTATTTGTACTAATATTATATTTTTATTCGTATCTAGTTAAGAGATTTTTTTAATGGATAAATGTTTTAATGTATAAAAACCTCTTAAAATTACACAAATAAGATCTATAACAATAATAATAATAATAATTTAATATCTTTTTCAACTTATTAATTAGTCATGATCTATGTCACCTATATCGTGATTCATATACGAACAAAATAGTTTATAATTATATTATTATTTTTTAACAATTAAATTTATAAAATGTGGTGCATATTATATAACTTATGTTTATAAATATAATATTCATGTATATTACTTATAATATTTTATTTGTATCTGTGTATGTCTAAATAATTAAATTATAGTTCTGATCAATGGTACAGTGGCAAAAGTATGACATAAATATTTATATAATAACTAACACATATTATGATCCCACCATTTTATGCATTACATCACTTTTAAAATCAATAAGCATTAAATATACATATCATTTTCTATCATCCCTTTTTAGAGTTTATATTATGTCTGATTTTCCCAATTAACAATGATGTGAGTATGTATGTGATTTCTCATTTATGGAAAATTCAATCCTACCTAACCACACCAAATTTTAACTGTGAACATCATTCTAATTTCTTAAGCGGTTTGAGTTGTATTGAACTAACCACACCAAATTTTAACTGTGAACAGCATTCTAATTTCTCAAGCGGTTTGAGTTGTATTGAACTTTGATTGGATTAATATTGAATGAGATTCCTTTCCTTTGATAAGAAAAAAAAAGTGAACAACATTCAATCCTACCTAACCACGCCATATGATGTGCATATGGCCTTATTATACATAGAAAAAGGTAAAAGTACAATTAATACGTCGTCGAGTTAAGGCTGTAGAGTGGCGATGTGTGTATCTATGCAAAACTCGACTTTTGAGGATGAGACGACTTGGATGGTGACTTTATCAGCTTTAATTGTTTTGTATCCATATGTAAGGAAGATGATCAATCTTTCTGGGTTTTCAGGATGAGATCAGAATATGGGTTCGATGGGAGATATTGGCAGATCTTGCGCTGCTTATTGGTCATTCGTGTTCAGATTTGTAGGCCCAATAATCATCTGGCATATCTTGATGGGCCGGTCCATCGTAAAAATTAGGTACAACATTGTTGGATTGACACTGTTTGTCTTGATCTAACAATAAAGAATCCAATTGACAAGACAGGAAATTTTTTCTGATTTCTTGCGTTGTTCTTACCTAGGTTATTTGGTGAAGTGGTGATGTAATATTACATTCCCTTATTCTAGAGCGTGGTCATGGTTACTAGTTTGTATTATAGAAGTTGTATGAATAACAGCATGAAATGTATATGATTGTATTTTTTTCACCACCTACATAGGCAATAATACGGCCACCCATACTAATTCTATTTTTATAAGGTTAAAAGGGATTAAAGTTTAAACACACTTTTCGGCCTTCACGTCTTACCCCACCACCATGTGACAATTACTCTTTATAAAAAAACATAGAAATTCCTTCAACTTTCTGAAGTGATCAATCAATTTTCAAGTTGAAAAATGTACTATATGATTGTATTTTTTCACCATTATTTAATGGATAAAGTCGTGATGCACGGAGAAGTGGAGATTCGACTTTACACATAACTGCAATTCAATCACTTAAATCAACACAGTTAAAAATTCAATAACTGCACTGCAATTGTGTAGGATGAAATCTATCAACAAAAGGGATCAAATTATTCTTTTAAGTAAGTCACAAGGAAAAAAAAAAAGAAAAAAGAAGAAGATACATATATATTCTAGTTCAAGATTGTCCTATTTTAGGTTAAAGAAAGTCAAGCACATTTGTTTTTCCTCTTTGTGGGTTAATAATGAATATCAGTACAACTAGTTCATNAAACTCCTCCTTTTGATACAGTTCTACAGATTTGAAGCCAACTAGACGAGATACAATACCAAAAGATACAAAAGATAATAAAAATAAATTTAAAAATGACAAATCAACTGGGAAGAAGATCCTCTCTTGAAAGAAAATGCTCCGGCTACCTTCTTTTCTTTCTCCTGTCATTTCCTCTACTCGATTCCAAGTACTAAATACAGAAAATGAGCTAAAAGATTTAAAAAACCTGAGCTTTTCTGGATAGCATTTTCATGCCCTAACCTCGTTCCTTATTCTATACTCGGTCTCTCAATGGCGCTTCAAATTTTCCAAGAGAAGTAATTCATCACTTTTCAAACCCTCTGGGTTTCGTCACAAACCACTTTACATTCAATTACTAATTCATCTCAAGAATATAGAAAGACCCAACCTGCATACATTTCAGACAGCATGTGCATATTTTCTCAGTTAGCTGTCATACTCTTGAAAGAATGTAAACACAACTATGACCAATTCACATCATAAATACACCATTTGTGCAAAATGATAGTCCTGGTCAGAGTTTTTTCCATTCATCCGCATCAGGCTGCGTTTGGTAAGCATATAGCTTATAAGCTTCCTGTATTCAAATAAGCTTGGTTTGGCAGGACGCGCTTTTTCAAAAAGCTCGAGCTTATACCCAGAGTAGCTTTTCAAATAAGCCCATTGAATTTTTCGTATCAACTAGTTTATTAGCCGATTTTACTAAACACTTTTATCATATAAACTAGCTTTTCAACCGTAAGTCATAAGCTATCAGTTATAAACTCAAAATTCACTTAAAAACTATAAGCTAAGTTATCAGATAGGTTTACCAAACATAGTCATAGTCTTAATCACGAGAGAGAGAGAGAGAGTACTTTCTTACGGCCCGTCAAAGTGTGAGGACGAAAGACGGAGCATCCTTTCTGGGCCCGGCCACCGTGCGGTACACAATAACCACCTCCGCGTGGCCCATCTCATACTCGTCCATAATAACCTCCACGTTAAGCCCCGGGTTGGCAACCGCCAGATCCCGGCACCCGTCGCGCGTTACCAAGCAGCCCGACATCCAAAGAGACCTCATCGACCCGTACTTCTCCCGGCCCGCCAAAAGAGCCGCATTCCCAAACTGACTATCCCTTATCTCGAGCTTCCTCAGCCTCGGGCAACCCTCCAGCACGCACTGCATTCCCCAATCTGTCCCGTCAGCAAACGCCACGGACAAAGTCTCCAAATTCTTAGCATACTTCCCGATATACTCGAAGGTCATATCGGTCAAAAGGCCCGAAACCGAGAGGCGCTTGAGGCCCGTGCAGGTCTTGGCGACTGCTGCAAAGGCCTCGTCCATGGGGAGGCCCGTAACGTAGTCGGGCTGACGAGGGGTCATTATGCAGAGGCGGAAGTGAGTGAAGCCCGGGCAGCTTTGGACTGCCGAGACAACGGCGGCATTTGTCATGCGGTGGCAGAAGTAGAGAATGTAGTGGAGTCGAGGGCAGGTTCGGGAGACTGCTAAAAGGCCCGTTTCGGACACGCCCTCGAGGTTTTCTTGGTTGTAGGGGTCGGAAGGGAGGACGCGAAGCTCCTCGAGGAACGGGCAGTTGGGGCCCACGGCCTCGAGACCTTCGTCTTGTACCGAGTCCACGACCTGTTAATAATAACAAGATTATTCGAATATCTTCAAAGGAGAAAGTACATTTTTAGTCCTGTTGGTTTAACGCATAACAATTTTAGTCTAAAAGTTCCATCTTTTCGGCTTCTGGTCATGTGATTTAATTAATATTTTGTTGCAATTTCAAATAACAGGACTGGAATTGCAACACAAATTTTAAATTACACGATATAAATTGCTAATTGAAAATCTGGGAATTCGAGAATTTGTTGCGATTTCAGTCCTCAAAGGACTAAATTGCAACAAAATATCGAATCACATGACCAAAAGGTGAAAAGTTAAAATCTTGGATCTAAAATTACTATAGCATTAAACCAGTAGGACTAAAATCCAATTCAGACTTATGTAAATGAAAATGGGCACATGGAAAAAAACAGTACATAATCAAATGAAAAGAGTGTTTTTTATTTTTTTTACCCAGAGGCGCCGTAGGTGAGGACAGTGAGACAGAAGCTTCTCGAATTCGTTACTCTCGATGGGGGCATTCGTGAGGTCCAAGAAAGTCAGTCCACCACAAGCTCCATACACCAGAGGCAGATAGAGGGCATTGGCTTCCCACAGTCCAGAGAGGACCTGCAGATTCTTACAGTTAAGAAAAGCTGTCTCGATTTCCTCACACTGGCGGAGTGTGAGTTCCTGCGTGAACGAGCCAGTCCCCAGCACCGTCAGCTTAGGAGCGTGCACGAGGAGCCTCAGCAGCTGGTCCAACGTGACAGTCTCGTTGACTTTCAGGACCCTCAGGGATTTGCACCGGCTGACGAGCCTGTCCAGGTCATCGAAGCTGACTTCACCGCTGAGGCTGGCGAAGTTAAGGATTTCGAGGGAGGAGAAGTTCTCCGGGAAGCAGCTCAGCCAGTCTCCGCTCACTTCCTCAGTCATGCTGTCTTGGATGTTGAGCTCCGTCAAGTTCCTATGAGCAAAAATGTGTTATATTATATATATGGAAATTTGGGGTGACTTGATTTTTTTTCTATAGATGCACTGTAAAGCATCTCAAAGATTGTCATTCGTAAATACACACGTAAAGCATTAAAGCTTTCACCTTTTTACCAATCTCGACGTAACAAACATTATTGAGATATAAACTACAAATGCCATTTAATAGAACACCATGAAAAAAATAGCCACTGATCTCAAATGAATGCAATGACAAAATCACTTGGCTTCCTTTCGACAAAATAAGAGCCTCACAACATTCAAGAATGCCATTGAATGGGAAA